CATCAATCAGTAGAGTTCTTAGAAAAACTCCACCTATTCATAATCCCTGAACACAACATTTCAAAAAAGAAAACACTGTTCAGTGGATAAGCAAAGCTTGAATGTAATGATTACTGAGTGAAAAACTAAGGAATAGTCATTCAAAGCAATGAACTCCAACAAAGCTACTGTAGGTGCATGAATAAGGGGAATAACCTTATGAACCCAGAAGGCCATCATTACATAATATACTACACAATAAGTATAGTCATGAACTCAAAGGATTAGAACCCTAGGGCTAGTAAAAGTATACTAGTATAGAGTTAAAGAGTAAAGGTCCCTTATAGAAAGGTTCAAAGTATGAGTGAAAAACCTTTACACAAAAAAAATAATACAAGCCAGTAGGGGTCAAATAAAGTTCAACTGGGTCTGAACTTATTGTCCCAAAGACAAGCTAACCTAAAGTTGACTGTTAGCTAAGCGTGTAGCTTGAAAATAAAATCCATGGAAGGATTTCCTAAAAACTGACCTGTTTCTAGTGTTAGAAGTACACTAAAATACAACCACAAATGAGCTCACTGCACTGAAGAATGACTTGTGACTCTGTCCAAGTACCTTCTGCTGCTGAGGAGGCCCTGCTGAGGTATAGTCTTGAAGATCTACCATGGGATGGTGGGCACCAACTCCCTCAGTAAACTGCTACTCAAGTTGTGCATGCTTCTAATATGCACCTTGCTGTCCCAAAGATCGGCTACTTGGTCATCTGTGCCAGTTCAGATTGTAGATTTTCCAACTTCTGTAAACTATCACGTTGACTAGGTTAATCTGGTAACCCCTAGTCCTGCATATATCTGCCATCAATTTACCAATTATCTAAGAAACTTCTAGCAGATAGAGTAAAAAAACTGGACTCTAAAATTTTTCCACTTTTCCATACATAGGCAAGTACAATTATGAAGATATAGCATATAAAGGGGTGTTAGGTCAGTTGACCTAGAGGGATTCAGGTTATCCTGTTGTTTTTGGACTTGCCCATTTTTCCAAATTAGGGGTATTAGCATATGTCATGGAATAGGTTGGATTGTATGTAATTTTATTTGTCAATCTCATTTCAAGTTAAAACTTAACATTACAAAGACACATTGGGAAATTCATTTATCATTCATTTAAGAATTTGTAGTCAGAATGCAGGGTATGTGCACCACACTTTAAATGTAACCTTGTCCTTTCATCATGTTGTATACTACCTTTATTTTGGGTTTTTGTATATCTCATATATATTTTTGTACTTTTGCTTTAGTTAGTATTTGTAGTTTAGATATTTAGTTTTTTCATAGTTATGACTAATGTAATCATGTTATGATACAAGATGTCAATAAAAGTTATATATCAATCATCGGGTAAAACAATTATTTGTGGGGATATGATTTTAGCTTGTACAGGCAATGTGTTCGACTCAGTCATCCAGAATAGACTTGTTTTCAATGCTGAAATGTTGAACACCCAAGATCCACTTCAAGGTGCCTATAAAACTGGCCAAGTGACAATTTATATATCTTAAGCACTCTTATATCTCACTATAAACAATTAAAGAAACCAGTATGTTGTATGAGCAAATCCCACCGAACAAAACATGTTTTGATAAATAGCGGCCATATAAAATTTGAGACAAATCCATCCACTGGTATTTGATTTATCAAAGATTATGTTTTCATGAAACATGGTTGCCATTTTGAAATTCAGCTGTCGTCTTTAGATTTCTTCTTTAGCAGAGCTCCTATGTCTCAAGGCATCAGCATACAATTTAATCCAAATCCGTCAACTGGTACTTGAGTTATCAAGGATTACATGTTTAACGAAAAATGGCGGAGATTTCACTTAATAGTAGCTACCTTGAAAATTTCTTCTCAAGCAGAGATCCTTTATCTCTAGGCATCAGTATATAAAATTTGAAGTAAATCCGTCCAATGGTGTTTGAGTTATCAAACATTACCTTTTTTATGAAAAATGGCAGCCATTTTGAAATTCAGCTGACGCCTTTGAAATTCTTCTGAAGCAGATCTCCTTTTTCCCTAAACATCAGCATATAAAATTGGAACCAAATCCATCCACTGGTGTTTGAGTTATCAATGATTACGTTTTTTACAAAAAATGGCGGCCATTTTGAAATTCAGTGGCCATCTTGAAAATGTCTTCTTGAGCAGAACTTCTTTGTCTCTAGGCATCAGCATATACAATTTGAACCAAATCCGTCAACGGGTATTTGAGTTATCAAAGGTTACGTTCTTTTATGAAAAATGGTGGCCATTTTGAAATATAGCTGCCATCTTGAAAATCCCTTTCTATGGTATTTGAGTCATCAAAGATTACATTTTTTACGAAAAATGGCCTTTATTTTGAAATATGACTGTACCCTTTGTACCCAGGCAACAACATATAAAATTTGAACCAAATCCATCCACTAGTATTTAAGTTATCAAAGATTATATTTTTTCCAAAAAATGGCCACCATTTTGAATTAAGCGGCCATATTGAAAATTCTTTCCAAGCAGAGGTCCTACACCAATAAGGCATAAGCCTATGAAATTTGAATGAAATCTGTCAATCAGTATTTGATTTGAGTTATTAAACCATTTTTTATGAAAAATGACTGCCATTTTACATTATTTCCGCCATCTTGAAAATGTTTTCTTGAGCAAGGCTCCTTTGTACCCAGGCAGCAGCATATAAAATTTGGACCAAATCTATCCACTTGTATTTGAGTTATCAGAGATTATATTTTTTCTGAAGAATGGCCTCCATTTTGAATTAAGTGGCCATATTGAAAATTCCTTCTCAAGCAGAGGTCCTACCCCCATAGGGCATAAGCCTATAAAATTTGAATAAAATCCATCAACTGGTATTTGATTCATTGCCCGGACACACAAACGGATGGACGGACAAATGGACGAACGGCTTTTCTATATCCCCCTCGAACTTCGTTCAGTGGGATAACTATGCAAAGTAGGTATATCACCAAATTAAAATATTTTCAAAATTATTTCAAGTATGTATAAAAAATCCAAAGCTTGCCTCAAACTCAAAGATGGTATTACCTCTACTTTTGAGACAGATGCCATTGTAATCAGAGCTCTGTCCTTAGTACTTATTTATTTAACCACTTTCTTGATGATTTGTCAGACTATTTACCGAAGGAGTATGGAATTCAATTTGACGGTTATAAGATAAAACATTTACTTTGGGGTGATGATTTAATTTTATTGTCAAATACTGAAGATGGAGCGCAAAAAATTGTTAAATTGTTCATTTAAGAGAACTTTTGTTTGAAACTTTAAAATCTGATCTGAAACAGTGCAAAGATCCAGATAAATTGTTTGAAACTATTATGTCTAGTAAAAGCTCTCATGTTAACTTACATTTAGCCAAATTTGTATATCACTCTTAGAAAATAATTAGGTATTATGGATACACCACACTGATATTCTGTTATCATACATGTGAAACTGATGTAAAGTAGTTTTGAAATTTGTAGTTGTAGTTTGTAGTTTTTTGTACACTGTAGTGACTGATATGTCATTTACATGACATGGTTATCGAGTCAATAAAAGATATATTAAGCAAAACAAGGAATTAACATTTCAAAATGTCAGACATTAGGTGCTATTACAACCAGAACAACGGCAGCGCCAAAGCGTAGCGAATCCCATCGAACAGAAATGGCTGGCATTTTAAAATGGCCACTTACTACCCAAAATTTCATAAGACAGCATGCAATCCTTACGAGTATTCACATATCAAATATGAACAAAAAAATTAACACGCATAAAAATGGTGGCCATTTTTCAAATTTTTTTTTCAAAAACTCCCCAAAGTTTTATTAGACAATGTGCCATGCTTAAAGTATTCACATATCAAATATGAACAAAATCACTCCAATACTTTTCAAGTTATAGTAAAAAATAAAAAATGACAGCCATTTTTTAAAATGGCCATCTACTACGCGAAGTGTCATGAGACAGTGTGCAAGGCTCATAAATATTCACATATCAAATATGAACAAAATCGCTCCACTACTTTTCAAGTTATAGTAAAAAATGGCATTTTTCAAAATGGCCGCCTACTACCCAAAGTGTCATTAGACAGTGTGCCATGCTTATAGTATTCACATATAAAATATAAACAAAATCGCTCTACTACTTTTTGAGTTATAGTAAAAAATGTAAAATAACACACGTAAAAATGGCGGCAATTTTTCAAAATGGCCACCTACTACCCAAAATGTCATTAGACATTGGGCCATGCTTAAAGTATTCACATACCAAATATGAACAAAATCGCTCCACTACTTTTTGACTTACAGTAAAAATCGTAAAATGACGTGCAAAGGCTGCCATTTTTCAAGATGGCTGCCATGTATTTCTTCTGTATTTACATTTCTAGCTTAATCAATGTCCTATATAACTTTTTAACATTTAAAACATATTGCTATTACAGTTTTATATGCAGTACCTAAATTACTGTAAAATCAGCACTAAAATGGCGGCCATTTTTAAATGAGCGACCATTTTGAAAACTGGTTTTCAAGCAGAACTTCTACTCCCATTGGGTATATGTGTACAAAATATGAACAAAATTGGGCCAACGGTATTTGAGTTATTGCCCTGACGGACAGATGGATGGACGAATGGACGGAGGCGTTCCCTATATCCCTCCGAACTTCGTTCAATGGGATAACTAGAAATGCATCAACTCGAGTAAGTAACAAATCCCACTTAATAAAACATATTTTATCAAATTACTCATCGTTGTAAAAATAACAGGAAGTAGTAAAGTATTGTTGTCTCATTTTGGCAAGGTGTACACAAATGATGTGATGTGTCGCCATACTGAAAAACTGATACTGACTGAATGCCAGTCAAAAAAGATATATATAGCAAAAATAATTTCTGGGGTTGACATAAAAATATCAAAAAATTACCCAATGTAAAAAGTGTTAAGGCAGCACAATTTACTATACTTACCAAATATGCTGTCCATTTCGTCATGTAGTTTTTGTTGTACGTCAGGATGTGAACCAATCAAATGTGAGGCCCATGCCATACCTGCTGCTGTCGTGTCATGACCCTGGAACACTCATGAACTGAATATTTTTCAAAGAGATAAAAATACCTTTTGGCTACTCAGCAAGACAAAGGATAGGTATCGATATGGTGAACTGAATTCAACAATGTTTTTCTCTTAAACCAATTATTGAAAACATTCTGGAAAAAAACACGGTATTTTATGTAATGTTGAATGATTGACAGCAATTTAATGCAAAAATTATTTAGAAATATTTTATATTACTGTTTTTGTTTAAATTTTTTGTTTTTTAGTGCAATTGTTTTTGCTGATTTTCTACCAATTCTTGAGAATGAAATAAAATGTCTTTCCGAACCTTGTTGGAACAAAATAGCATATACAACATGTTTTTAGACCTCTCAATATTATACATGTTATTATACAAAGGAATTTTTGGTTGATTTTAAAAAGTATTCAAAAAATTTAAACAAAATCCCCCCAAAATAGATAAAATTCAAGATAAACCTTCTATTTCATTAACAAGATACTTTTTTAAAATCAACCAAAATTTCCTTTTGTACATTTACAATATTGAGAGACCTAAACATGTTGTGTTTATGTCGTTTTGTTCCAATGAGGTTCGGAAAGATGTTTCATTTCACTCTGGAAACATGATACCAAGAACAAAACAAGTGTTTGATGTCTTTTCTAAAATATAGATGAAAGTATTTATATATTTTTCAAATTATATTGTTACCATTCAAAAGATGACCATTAAATTGACGATGTGTTTTTAGATTTTTTATGACTGGTTTAAGAGAAACGTGTGTTCAAAAGGTTCACCATATCGATACCACTCCTTTTAAAAATTAGCCCAAGCTCACATACATGTACATGTATTTCTGAGCTACTTAAGAATAAATTAATTTTCCTCAAAATTGTATGATTATCAATATTTTCTGATACATGAACTACTCCAGGGGCACCTTTATGTATCTCAATATTGTCAAGGTAAACAATAATGTCATACCAAAATATGAGTTTTACAATTTTATCATTATCACTTCCACAACTAGTTACTTTGACGGAACGCCTTCTCGATCAGCTGGATTGGGACGGAAAATCAGAGCAACTAAACACAGATAGGTTTTTAGATGCGATGTGTATCAGAATGCAATTTAATCTTTAGAGAAAAAGAAATGAAAGAAACTTTAAATGCAACTCATACACTGGAAGGAATTCATACAATAATATAATACATGTAGCACACAGTTGGGCTCACCTCAAACATGAATGTGTCAACTTCTTCCCGAATGTCTGTGAAGGTGAGACCAGCCTCTTTCTGAGCAAACAACAGCATGTCCAGGAAGGCAAGCCTGTAACAATACATGTATATTTAAATTTAGTTTAATATTAATTCATGATGGATGATGGATGCAAGTTAAATGTTAAAGATGACATACCTTTTAAAGTAAGATATGACCTCATGAATGATCAGGGTGATTCCTTATGGATTGAGTTAACCATTAACTATAAATCTTACCTTTATGCAATATATTATAGATCACCTTCTCAGTCTCAAAATGATGCAAATGATTTTTGTAATCGGTTTACAGCTTCATGTAATCTGGCACTTGATAATAACCCTGAATCAATTTTTATCAATGGAGATTTCAATGCGAGATGTAAAGAATGGTGGGCCTTGGATAATGAAAACACTACAGGAAAATTTTTATTTGAATGTATCGAAGAACTTGGACTTGTGCAACTCATTGATGAACCGACTCGTATAACAAACATCAGCAGATCATGTATAGATTTACTCATCTCAAATAACCCTGACATCATTACAAATACTTATGTCTCTCCTCCAATTGGCAACACAGACCATTGTTCAATAAACACCGAGTGCTTTCTTGGTAATCAAAAAAATCGCCCGTATTCAAGGAAAATATGGAAATATGATGAGGCAGACATTAACTAGTTAACAATGCAATCCGTGCGGCAAATTTTGATCATTTAATAGACACTAACAACAACTTTGATGACCTTATCAAAATATTTTCTGGAAGTCTACTTGCAATTTTCACAGACCTCATTCCAAACTCAGAAATTGTTGTAAAATCTACTAACAAGTCATGGTTCACAAGTGACATTAAAACATTAATTAATAAAAGAAATAAATTGCATTATAAGTATAGAAAAACTCATAATGACATGTACCTTCAAAAATATACAGATCAATGTAAACTGGTAAATGAGGCTATAAGTGAGGCAAAAGAGGCAATGGAATCAAGATTGTACCAAAAATTAACAACTCATAGATATGGAAGTAAGGGGTACTGGTCAATTATTAGTAGGCTCCTAGGCAAATCAAAAAATAGTAAAATACCCCTCCTCAACGATGCCAATGGTAATAATTACACTGATAGTTGCGACAAAGCAAATTTATTGTTATCACATTTTATTGACAAATACCATAATAATTATAATCATGGAAATGAACCATTTATTCCAAGAACTGATATAACATTTGACCTGCTCTCTACCAATGACAGAGAAGTCTATAACATTCTACTCGGCTTAAATATTAATAAAGCCACTGGCCCTGACATGTTGAGTAATAGAATGCTAAAAATGGCAGCACCATCACTTTCACCTATTTTATCAAAACTGCTTAACAAAATGTTTACTTTGAATCAATATCCTCAACTATGGAAGGTCGGTCATATTGTAGCTATTCATAAAAACAAAGATAAAACAGATGTGAAAAATTATCGCCCAATAACACTTCTGTCTTGTATTTCTAAAGTCGCCGAGCGCATTATTTTTAAAAGACTCTTTGATCATCTCATTTCTAACAATTTATTTTACAATCTTCAAAGTGGTTTCCTGCCAGGACATAGCACACAGGCACAACTTCTAAGTATTATTGACCACATAACAAATGAAATTGAAAATGGGGCTAATGTAAGAGGGATATATCTTGATATTTCGGCTGCATTTGATTCAATGCCCCATGGGCTACTATTAGGAAAATTGAAAATGTTTGGTTTTGGTCCGAATATCCTGGAATTGATGAAATCATATTTACTACACAGACAAGTGTAGGTGGTATTAGATGGTCATGAGTCAAACTTATCTGAAAAGGGTTATATCAATTCCGGAGTTCCTCAAGGCTCGATCCTGGGGCCCTTCTTATTTTTGATCTATATCAATGATTTACCTGACAATTTGAATTCAAAATGTTTCATCTACGCAGATGATACCTCAATTTACCAGTCATTCACAGCTGAAACAGCAACTGAAATGAACAATGCCCTACAGGAGGATCTCAACCATATTTTTCAATGGTCTGAAGTATGGAAATTAAATTTTAAAGCTTCTAAAAGCAAAGATTTGACCTTTTGCAATCCAAAGAAACGTGAAATTTTGACCATAGATCTTTCTCTCGGAAACGACATTATACCAAGAGTAAACAGCCATAAGCACTTAGGCTTAATCCTAGACAGAAATCTCACTTTTGACCTTCACATAACTGAACTTGGTGCAAGAATAGACAAACTTTTAAATCCACTGAAAGCGCTCTGTCAGAAAATAAATGGAAAACATCTCGGAACAATCTTTAAATCTTTTATCCTGCCACTTTTTGACTATGGTGATATTTTATATGGGTGTGCAAACACAACAAAATTACAGTTATTAGATCGACTTTACTATAAAGCCGCTTGCATTTGTTCAGGTACTCTACATGGGACTTCGACAATTAAAGTGTTGAATAATTTAAATTGGCCAACATTAACAAAGAGGCATCAATATCACAGAAGCATTTTCATGTATAGGGCACATAATAATATGCAGCCCTCTTATGTTCTTAACATATTTGAGCCTCTCAAAAGAAACCATGCTTATGGTCTAAGAAATCAACTGAGCTACACAATTCCTAATAAATCCTCATTTTCTAATAGATCTTGCATATCAAAAACACTGACTGAATGGAATAAGCTTTCACCTGAAATAAGAAATTTACCTACCCTTAGTATATTCAAATCCAGACTTAAAATAGATCTATTCAATGACGATGTTACAAATTCATCAGATCTCTCCGTTTCAAGAAAACAAGAAATAATTTTCAATAGAGTGCGCTGTGATCTCATTTTTAAGGCTCACCTTTACGCTCACAATTTCACTAATATAAACTCCCCCATTTGCCAGTGTGGAATGGATGGTGAAACAACCAATCACGTAATTTTTCACTGTAATCTAAGATCAACATTTTGGACAGAATTTGAAAATGAATTAAAAAATATGAACATAGAATATTCTACTAAATATAGATCACAACGAGACAAACTCTCCCTTATCCTCAATGGCGATAAAAGGCTACCTAAAGCTGTAAACTTAAATATCCTCAAATGTAGTGCCATCTTTTTTGAACGATGTAAAAATGTCTAGGTCACCCCCACCACTGTAACCCTCCACAAATACAACCCCTATTTTAATAATTGATTGAATACTGTTAATTGATTTTCATCATATAACGTGGCTGATAATGCTGATGCCCAGCCACAAGCACATGTGCACTTGTTTACTGTATTCTTTGTATAAATATATAAATAAATAAAACAAAATAAAATAAAAAAGTTAAATGTGTTGATTGTGAAACGTAATGATTTATTTATGAAAACACAGAATGTAGCTCCCTGTAAAAAAAGCAAAATCAAATGACTGTAAAGGGTCATGAATAATGAATTATAAATTCACCTTTTGTGTTTACCAAGTTTTTCATCAATGTTCTCTGAGGATATGTCGTCACTGTATTGTTTATGTTCTGCCTGTCTCTCCTGAATTACCTTAAGAAATAAACAAACCATGCAGTCAACACTTGTCATATTAATAAGGATGGAGTCAAATAGATTAAAAAACAAGAGTGAAAAAATGTAGTGTACATTACTTCTACGTGTAATAACTCCAAAACTCATTCTAGTTTTGATTAAACAGGTAACTGCAAAATTCAAATTCAAGTGTACCTTTTCTGTGAATCCATGCAAAATTTCCAAGCATTTGTCATGTTCTTTGCCACGTCCAATAGTATTGAACAAGATATCCGGCCAGTGCCATGGTGCTTTTTGTCTTCTGTGAACAATCTCACTCATTCTGCAATGAAAATACCATCACCTGTAAAACTGGAAATACAGTGTTGTTACCCTTAATTGGAACACTTTCATTGTAATACCATCTGGTAAAAGTATATGAAATCCAAAGAGTGTCAGCAATGAAAAATGTATGCTCAAGTGCCAAAGGGAAAACCAAAAAATGTCCAAGAGTACATCAGTCATAAGGAAAACAAATCCTAGCTATCCCTAACAATAAACGTACATGAAAAGAAACAATGTCTAAAGCCCCCTCTCCAACTATTCAAGTTCCATTATCACAATCAAGGACCATAACATTAAGGCATTAACCTTGGACATTAACATTAAGACCAAATCCCAGAAGTGGCATTTGAATTACTAGCGAAAAATCATATTTTTCTGAGACTTTTCTTGAGAAATAATGACCTTAATGAATCCAACAGTCATCCTGGAATTCCCTCTTAAGAAGATTTTTATGTCCCTATGGCATCAGCATATGAAATCTGAACTTAATCTGTCAAATGGTATTTGATTTATCAAAGACTACATTTTTCATGAAAAATGGTGGCCATTTTGTCATATGTCCCTAAGGCTTCAGCATATAAATTTTGAACAAAATCCTTCAACTGGTTTTTGAATTATCAAAGATGATTCTTCTTACGAAAAATGGAAGCCATTTTGGAATGAGTGGCCATATTGAAAATGGCTTCTTGGGCAGAGGTCCCTTGCTCATAATACATTTACCTATAAAATTTGGACTAAATTCTATAACTCGGCTGCTAATAGTGATGGTCTTGGTCCATAGTCTGACTTTGTGTAATGACTGTATAAATAAATAAATAAAACACAGCCTTTAAAAAAACACATCTAGTGTTAAAGTTATTAAAAATTATATTTTAACATGAAAATGGCAGCCATTTTGAAATTCAGTGGTCATCTTGAACTTTTTTAGAGTACCAGCAAATAAAATCTGGACAAAATCTGTTAACTGGGATTTCAGTTATCGCAAATTACATTTTTTCCAAAAATGGTGGCCATTTAAATTGAGGAGCCATATTGAACAAAGCATTCCATCAATCGTTATTTGAGTTATTGCCCAGACAAACCAGAGACATGTAAAACAGAGATGAGTAACTCTCATTGAAGCTGTTGTCATGGCCTTGCTAGTTAGTTAATTGATTGATAGATGGCATTTGCATCTACCAGTAAAGCTGCTGGATTACGCCAAGGTGTACATTGACGTCATTTTCCTGCACGTGCATAGAAGTACACATTCATGCTTTGTTGAATATGCGTCTGTAAATTGCACCAATATGTAACCAATATGCACGAATCTCATGTAAAAACCTGTAATCTTCACGCTGGCCCACAGGAAATAAACAAATCTGAAGTCATTTATCTGCGCGCGCATTGAAGTTCACGTTCAAGTTTTGTTCAATACGTGTAGCTTAAGTCCACGCTCAAGTACACGTTTAAGAAAATTTTCTGTTAAACTACACTTCTGGAACAAATTAGCCCTGCATATATTTATATTGTACGGAATGAAACAAAATTTCGAAAAACAGTTAAGATCTGCACTTTTAACCCAAACCGTTTATGTAACTTAAGTGAGGAATTAAATCGACGATTCTGTTGTCTTCTGACCTATTTTTTCACAAACATGTACATTTTCTAAAACATATGGTGCTGATACTAGTTTGTGAGAAAAAATGTCGTCGGGATTCTGCCTACAACGCGTGAAATAAGGAAAAAAGAAAAATCGTACCTTCGACGTTCCAACATTTTGTTACCAAAACGAACCGTTTCGGTAACCAGCGTAATCGAGCCGATCACCAGTGAATAACAAGAATTTGCATTTCTGGGAGTGTAAAATTGTTTATTTTGAATGCTGCCCCTTGTATTTCTCATCTGCCTCTTGTAAAAAAAAAAGTTACTGAAACCACTGGAGTCAATGTTACCTTTTGATGTTGCGACACTTACTAATTTATGTCGAATACTACGAAGTTCCATCAGTGACTTGTGTATGTGAACAGTGATGTTAGAAATCCTATTTTGTGATGTGCTTGACCTCTGAACTTACGCACTGTGTTTAGTTTTTCCACGGACGGACTTGTGGGAACACTGTGTTGGGTATGTGCAGATAACAAGGATTATACTACAATACTTGTGTAAACACGTATGGATCCTTGGCAAGTGCAAACTATGTTACTTGCGAGGTGCTGCAGGTTTCATGTGTGTTGGGATAATGTAGAAACATTACTAGATACATGAAGATGCGGTCATTTGAAGTTGAATGACATTTATTTCCACAATGGATTAAAGGGTGACGCATATCGTTTAGCAAATCGAACGCTCGTTTCTGGTGTTGCTCACCGTTTAGTATAAAAGGCCCGATCCCGGAATAATACTCAAGGGTTCACAGGTTCGAGGTCGCTGTGTCAACACCTCTAACTGTTATATAGCATAAGTATATTATAGATCGTCACACATTTATAAAAGGGTGATTTTTATTTTGACAAATCAATTCCACATTTATGGGTGAAGTTTCAGGATCTTCTATTTGTGTATAATAAGGAAAAATTGGCATCTAAATTTCCCCATAACGTAATAGCACACAGCTTGGCATATGAAATATCCTACAAATGAAACAAAGCAAGACAAATCGGTTTCTAATACAAGAATTTATATTGGCTGTTGTACATGTATTATTTGAACGCAATCACTCTTTGGATAACGTTTTCAAAATCATTATAAACGGATTACTTTATCTCAAAGACAATTTCAATAAACTGGATTTTACAGAACTCCCCTTATTTCTTAAAAATGGACTGATCCAGTTGATTCGCCTGGAGCCGCCATATTGTTTTTATACGGGATGCTAATCGGAACCCTTTAAATCGTGGGCATCAGACTTTCCTGATGTGTACCATTGTGAGCTATTGGTCCAGCTAAGTCTATTTTTAGGACTATTTTCTGAGGTGTATCCAGAGTGTCGAATCAGTCATGAATCAGTTTGATGAGTATTAGGAACAGTTAAGCATTTAAAATCTTTAAAGCCTTGGTTGGAATATTAACAAAACCTCCAAATCAGATTTGTGTCAACAAAAATCATACACTGACAATCAAATACATCTGCTCAAAATCATATGACACGTCGCAAAAAGTTTGCGCAAGTATTGTTACACATTTTCATCTTTTAACACCACAGAATGTGACGTTTTTTGAGAAAAATGTACACATTTGCCTCTATATCTCAAAATATTTAAGGCGAATAACTCTGATATCATATATGTATTAACCATTGGTTAAGAGCATCATAAAACACGAATCAATTGATATTTTAGGTGAAATAAATATATGTGTTGCTGTGTTTGAATGAATTTTAATGAATTTTGAAAACCTTTCGTCCTCCACTTTTCCACATACAACAGAAAACACATACGTTTGCGAACAAAATCAACTATTTATTAATAAACTAGAGTTTATGAGCAAAATAATCATGTATGATATATTAAAAATTGGTCTCCTGAAAAGTTGAAGGTAACAAAAAATGAGCAAAAAAGGTCGCTGTCGACAGATTCTATTTTTCAAACTTAATGACGTCACAATATGGGACGCTTACTAGAATTCATCCTTTAAAATAACACTTCCATCTACCTTTATCAAGACAAAAATAAAGTATAATAGTCAAATATTGTTTGAGTTATGTGCGTTTAAAGACGAAAAATTGTAAAATGTATCGTGTCAACAGCGGATATTTGGGGTAAAAAACTCTTTTTTGAAAAAGAATGCGCAAGAATTAAGAATAAGAATTAAGAATTAAGAATATTCATATCTTTTTTTGTAGAAATGTGTGAAAATTGAATGCATTATAAGAAAACAGAACTTTAACCATTTTTTATGAAGAAAATCCAAATTCAGTATTCCATAGACTGATAAACAAAAACCCAATGTATAACATATATATCCATTCTAAATAATAAATTCCATCATAGATACACAATAAAGTGATAAATGATTGCCCAAATTGGCAAATTTAGAAAAATTCTGTTGAAAAAAAATTCAGCCATCTTGAAATTGAAGTTAGTCTTCTTCGCTGATTTAGCCTTTAGCTCATTACATTTATTGACATTGTATGTATCGAATGCACTCTAACTTAAACAATCAAAAGATTACCTGCTTTGATTATATATCTGTACGTGGTTTAAAGACGTGAAGCGATAAAATCTAAACGCAAAGTTTTGGCTTCAATGGTTGTTTGTTAAATCTCGTGAAATCTCGCCGGGCAGACGAAACCTCGCGTAGACAGATATATTGTAAGTCACTCATCTCTGTTTTATATGTCTCTGGACAAACAGACTGACGGATGGATGGACAGACAGATGGCGGCCTCTCTATATCCCTCTCGAACTACATTCAGTGCGATAACATTGAATTTATTTAATAAAAAAAACATCTGAGAAAGTATTTACTTACAAATAAACAGCTTCCACATATTTTGACTCTGGATTTCCCTGAGCATTCACATGTTTCCCCATAGCAGTGTCTGTAAACAAAAATGTATGTCGATAGTCAAAGGAACACTAGGCTTCAGAGCCAATAAAATGATTCAAAATTTTTTTTCTGGCTTTAGAGTCAGTTTAAAAAGCCATGTTTAGACTGAGTATTTTAGAAGTTCTGAGGAACTTTTATAATTGAGATTTTTCTTGGTAGACCGGAAGTAAATCAATGAGTCAAGTAAATGGTGATAATGTTTTTTTTATGGAACGGGGAAGTCAAAATATTACTTATAGAAATCATGGTAAGCATTTGAAGATCATTTAGAAGCATTTAAATCGAATCCATGGCAAAATTCGAAATAAACAAAATATTTTCACACTGACCTAAGAGGAGGGAAAGCCCCAGAGTTTAAAGATGACAGACATAATCACCTCTCTTGCTTACCACCTTCGTTCGTTCGAATATTAATCGGCTAGTTATCAAATACTACACTTCGATGGGATGTTTTAATTGATATAGGCATATTCCGTACACCTTTCTTTATCTTGATGTGAAATGAGAAGCTATGATATTGGTTAACACGCCAGAAATGAACATAATATTATTCTAAGCGTATTTCGAAAATTTTGAAACCACCATTGATGACGTCATTTGTTTGTCGACTTTTGACCAATCAGCGACGATGTCATCTCGATACAGATTTACATTATAAGCGTATGTCATCTTTGAACCCTGGTGTTTCTCCCCCTCTGCACTGACCTCAGAGAACACACTTCTGATTTTATGCTCAATGATTTTATTGATCAAAAATTATTTTAATGAATTTGTCTGATATCTGCTTATACTTGTTTTGTTTGTTCAATTACAAAAAAGGTAGGATAAAGAATCGAATTTGAAAGTTTGATTTTGTCCCCTATATTTCTGTTGCCAAGAATTCCTTTAAATGAAAAGAATATCATATGTACATTAAAGGAAAAAGAAACATATCAACAATTAGCAAAATGTCTAGAAACTCTAAAATTGTACTACTGTATAATTGTAATTTTATGATTGTATTAAAAGAAATTAAATATTAGCTGAAGAAAGTTTCAGTGCAAAACTTTCTAGATTTGTAGTTAATGAATTCTAAAATATTTTGATACTCACCACATATGATGTCCAAGGCACATTTGGTGATAAATGGGAATAAGTCAATGTCTTTCTCAGTCTGGTTTCTAAGCTGGTACACAAATATTTTAGATTGCTCATTAAATACTTCCAGAAAGTCACTCAGTATTTTGAAATGAAAGGTAGGTGTGAGGAGTTTACGTCTCTGGTGCCATTTTAAACCAGTACTGCAAAGAGATTTTAAACATTATGCAGTTAAAGCATTGATGAATGGAAGACCTAACGAAGAGAATCCATCAAATGGTTTGCCAGAAACACGTAGACTTGACAGACAAGATTTTACTATGGAAAATCTAAAAATTAGTGACAATAAATAATAAAAAAGGAGTTATATAAAAATGAAAGCTACTAAATACATGTAGTTTAATTATGAAAACTCAAAATATACCTGGTAAGTAAGCCTGTGCCAAGCCAGGGGTGTAGGAAATCATATTCTGCAGATTTGTCCATGTGCTTGGTACTGTTCAACAAAGGCTGGAAATAAATGTATATTGGCAATTGAAAATTGAATATTGATTAAAATAAATCAAACACATATAGTCAAATCATATAGTTTTGATAATTTGATTCTTGGTGTTTCTTTGTTGAAACAGATAATACATGCAGTACTCTAACTTATATTATCTATATACCATTGCAGGAAAAATGCTTGACATCATTTCTTTCTTAGGGGTAGAATAAAACAGTGTTAAAAGTAGGTGCTAATCTTTAGCGCTTATGGACCACTTGCTTTCGTATAACACATCTTAACTATAATGAGGTGCGCTAATATCTACAGTGCATATCAAAGAAACCGCAAATGATTGTTATCTCAGAAAGGCATAAAACCAGTGATAACAGCATTGATTTCATTCAATGCATTATAAAGCCATGTGTCTCCTCTTTACAATCATTCATTGATATTTGGTCATGGTTGGGCGAGTAATCATTCCATTTGCAAAGTGGGCCAAAATTAGCTTGGGACCAAGTTATAAACATCGCAAAATATAAAAGTCAGTGTACTGAGCCCGATGCAATATTGGAAGAAAACATAAAACCAATGCTCACTGCATCCTTTTTATTCAATGTACCAAAAAGCCAAATTACTCCTCTTTGCAATAGAATATCATTCATTCACAGGGAGTCATGGCTGGCCGAATAATCATTAATTTTGCTAAGTGGGGCAAAATTCAGCTCGGACTCAAGATTCAAACATTGCAAAAGTCAGTACAAGGGGCAAAGGGGCTATTGGAAGAAGGTGTGACAGGTGTGGCATAGACAGTAAAGTGTTCATACTCATACTCTTGCAAGAATACATCCTATACCCCTCCAAATTGCCACCACTTCCTTGCACATAAAGATGTGCTCATCTGTCCACGTCATGCATGGTTCAGCCCTGAGTCATCTGTGGGTTAAAGCAAAGAAAAGCAGCCCATAGGCAATTCTTTCTCAAGGTTTTGCAATATCTGGTGAAGGAATTGTGAGCACAGATGCTCCTGAGATGCTCCAAAAGAAAAAGTCACAACAATTCAAGTCAGAGGAACTTCTATTGGCACTTAGCCCTTGCACTGTTTTTTGCAATATCTAAAACTTGGTCCAGAGCCAATTTTGACCCACTGTGCAAATGGAAGAATTCCTCACCCAACCATTACCACATGTGTATGAATGACATATCATTGCAAAGAGGAGAGATGTGGCTTTATGGTACATTGAATGAAATTGATGTAGTCATCACTAGTTTTGTGATTTTACAAGATAACTACTTGTTGCATTTTTTTGATACGCCCTATATATGGGTTGTTCTTAGTTTACTTATCTACAAATCAGCAGCAGTAGTGTCTAGCATTCACTGGCAAACCCCAAGCATGCTCTAAGATTTGGTAACACAATCAAGAAAGTCTCTTTCATAATTGGTTCAAACCTTTTTGGATTGATTCGATGTACTAAAACATGGACCATTATCTTGCCATTGCTTTGAAAGTTTGCAAATGAATGATGGGAACCATAAGCAATCCAATTTATCTACAATCTCTAAATACTACTTAAAAGCAACACGAACCTCTACATGTTGTGCTCGAAATACTGCTAAAAAGGGTTTGACTCCCATCCATAATCTACATGTGCCTTCTTCTGCGTACATGTAAGTGTACTCCAAAAGTTGCTCATAAAATTCTGCAAATTTAAAGACAATAGTCATCGTACCAGATCCAAACTTGAGTCAACTTGTTTTGGATTGAGCTCCATGAACATTCTGAACAGTTAAAGCATGGCAGAAATGTTTCATGTAGGACCTGACACAAAATTGAGATTTTGTGCTATTGGCATCATTTATCACGACTGAAATCAGGAACAAAAAAATTGTTATAGATACCAAACTTCAAAATCCAAATTCCAAATAACAAGCACCCAACACCATCCCCAAACAAGTTGGAGACTATAACAATATGTCAACAATTGTGACATACAGTAGAATCTGTATATCTGAACACCTGGCTAATCTGAACACATTCCAATTTGAACACTTTTTTCCAGTCCCAATTTTTCCTCCCATCGATTCCCATATCAAAAAACCTTGAAATCTGAACACCTCCTAATCTGAACAGTGAAGAACCAGATTTGAAAAACTAAAATGTCTAATCTGAACATTTTTATCAGAAATCAAATGTCTGGACATTTCAAAAATAGTCACATATTGAGTCAATGTTATAGTTGTTATTTATCTTTTTACATACAATGTTATCAAAGAATCAATATTGTCCTAATTAACTTATTTAAGTCTCAGTGACATCCCTAATTGTGGAAAACAACAGGATGATTTGGAAAGGTGTGAATACAGGAGTTAATTGATTTATCCTATTAGAAAAGAACTGAATGTTTTATGTTTGGATTGAGAAAAGGGTGCAGTGAATCGAGAAAATAATTGATTTATCATTATTGTAAATACCTGCAAAAAATGTGCTACTATGATGGATGGACGCACGGACGGACGGACGGACGGACGGACAGACAGACGGACAAGTGAGTGATTGCAAAAGCTCACCATATGAGCTAATAAACTCATCAACAACATGTATTGTTTTCTGACTTAGTATTAAGTGAGCAATATGGTGGACTGAATTGTAAAATTTGAACAACTACCAATTTGAGTGCTTTTTTCAAAATGGCTGCCTTCTACCAAAAGTGTCATTAGACAGTGTGCCATGCTAATAGTATTCACACACCAAATATGAACAAAATCGCTCCACTACTTTTCGATTTACAGCAAAAATCGTAAAATAACAAGTAAAGGCTGCCATTTTTCAAGATGGCTGCCATGTGCTTCTTTAATATCTACATTTTTATTAATGTCCTATTTAATTTTTTTTACATTTAAAACATGTTGCTATTACATTTACATATTGCACGTAAATTACTGTCAAATCGGCACTAAAATGGCCACCATTTTTAAATGAGCAGCCATTTTGAATATCGGCTTTCGTGCAGAACCTCTACTCCCATAGGGTGTATGTGTACAAAATATGAACAAAGTCGGGCCAATGGTATTTGAGTTATTGCCTGGACGAACGGACAGACAGAGGCGTTCCCTATATCCCTCCGAACTTCGTTCGATGGAATAAATATAAATCTGAGCCCCGGTGTAAAAGGGTAGGAGGTCCTATCAAATTATGGTCCTACTCTCCATTGATTTATATGGTGACCTAAATACAACTCTTTCTCTCATTATCTTATACGGAATCAGGGCCGTTAAAAAAGGGGACCATAATCCCCGGGGGACCATCATTTCTTTCACACTGGGATCTGAGCCCACTTTTGGTGTAATTCTGTATATAAAATGCTTCATAGTCTTACATTAGTTTTAATCAGACGATTGCTTATTTCAGTTCTGTAGACCTGAGATGCATTGAGTCAAACTATCAACAATTGGAATCTACTGCAATTGTCTTCGTCACTAACCTTAACTACTGCGTTAACTATAACCACAGACGTCCCCTACTGTTTTTAATTCTTTAGCACGTCTAGAACGACTTTAAAATAAATTATTTTATTTAGCATGAAAGTGAAACCATGACATTGTGATCGTTTATTATCCAATAACTGGCTATAATGCTAAATACAAGGGGATATTACGAGTACTGTTTTTATTTCATTTTAATTTCTATTAACATTTCATTGGAACCAGACCAAACATTATTTATACGATATGCTTACTGTGAATGTCACTTTTTGTGAGTTGAGCCCCCATAAATACTAATTTCATATGAAAAATTTGTATAAAATATGAAAAGTGTTTCACCATCAAATGTGTTAAATGCTGATCCCCATACATTCTGTAGCGTCTCAATCATAAGTCACAACCCATATCAACTAAAGCATGAGTTCCATCTATCTATCAACACATTGATAGAAAGTTTTTCCCCTGGAAAAAGGTGCATTTCCAGTTTTTGGGGAGTATTTTATGTTCATTTCATTTTTTTCGATACTTATCTCGATTCAACCTAACTGTCCTTAATTAACGAGAATATTGAGATGATTACAAAGTATCTTAGTTTGTTCGTACCAGCTTCGGAAAATTGTTAAAAAAATTCTCGGAGAGAATTGGTAGCAAAAAGAAAATACTGTGTTAGATGGGTCTACTAAATAAATATATATAAAAAATTGGTAAATAATTATCAAATAAAATACAATTGAAATTATGACTATTGCATTGTTGCTGTCTATTTTTTCATATTTTTTCGATCACTGGTTCCAGAGAAAAAAAATGTTGAATTAAGTTCTCCATATCGATACATAGCCTTTAAAAAGATCATATTTAGGTCAAAGGGATATGATAATACCCAATGTTAAGTCAAATGTGCAAATTCTCAATTCAATTCATAAATATACAAGGCATTAACATGACAAAATGTCACCACCTAAAACAATTTGGTCAATTTAAAGCAAGTTGAAAAAATACCTCTTTGACTTTTTTGACATTGAGAAGGTCATTGAAGGTCAAATGTCAAATGTAAAGTCAGATTTGAACTTCTGAGAACATGTAGATGATTTTGAAAAAAAATTAAGTAAATTTGAAGCAAGTTGAAAAAAGACCTTTTTGACCTTGAAAAGGTCATTGAAGGTCAAATGTCAAATCTAAAGTCAGATTTGAACTTCTGAGAACATGTAGATGATTTTGAAAAAAAAAAATTAAGTAAATTTGAAGCAAGTTGAAAAAAGACCTTTTTGACCTTGAAAAGGTCAGTGAAGGTCAAAGGTCAAATCTAAAGTCAGATTTGAACTTCTGAGAACTTGTAAAGTCAAATTTGAACTTCTGAAAAGATGTAGATGATTTTGAAAAAAAAATTTGGTCAATTTGAAGCAAGTTGAAAACAGACCTTTTTGACCTTTTTTGACCTTGAGAAGGTCATTAAAGGTCAAATGTCAAATCTAAAGTCAGATTTGAATTTCTGAGAACATGTAGATGATTTTGAAAAAAAAAATTAGTCAATTTGAAGCAAGTTGAAAAAAGACCTTTTTGACCTTTCTTGACCTTGAGAAGGTCATTGAAGGTCAAATGTCAAATCTAAAGTCATATTTGAATTTCTGAGAACATGTAGATGATTTGGAAATTTTTTTTACTCAATTTGAAGCAAGATGAAAAAATACCTTTTTGACCTTTTTTGACATTGAGAAGGTCATTGAAGGTCAAATGTCAAATCTAAAGTCAGATCTGAATTTCTGAGAACATGTTGATGATTTTGAAAAAAAAATTTAGTCAATTTGAAGCAAGTTGAAAAAAGACCTTTTTGACCTTTTTTGACTTTGAGAAGGTCATTGAAGGTCAAATGTCAAATCTTAAGTCAAATCTAAAGTCAGATTTGAATTTCTGAGAACACGTAGATGATTTTGAAATTTTTTTTAGTCAATTTGAAGCAAGTTGAAAACAGACCTTTTTGACCTTTTTTGACCTTGAGAAGGTCATTGAAGGTCAAATGTCAAATCTTAAGTCAGATTTGAATTTCTGAGAACAATTTGAAGCAAGTTGAAAACAGACTTTTTTGACCTTGAGAAGGTCATTGAAGGTCAAATGTCAAATTTAAAGTCAGATTTGAAGGTCAAATGTCAAATCTAAAGTCAAATCTAAAGTCAGATTTGAATTTCTGAGAACATGTAGATGATTTTGAAAAAAAATTTAGTCAATGTGAAGCAAGTTGAAAAAAGACCTTTTTGACCTTGAGAAGGTCATTGAAGGTCAAATGTCAAATCTAAAGTCAGATTTGAACTTCTGAGAACATGTAGATGATTTAGAAAAAAATTGAAGTCAATCTAAACAGTATTTGTTAAGTTATAGGAAGTTGTAAGAAATTGTTGCAGACGCCGGACGCCAACCTCCAACCGCCGGACGCCAACCTCCAACCGCCGTCGCAAAAAAATGGAGACCATAACAATATGTCACCACTTTTGGTGGTGACATAAAAAATGGAGACCATAACAATATGCATGCATCTAACACAGAAAGTCACATAAATATAGCTCCTGGAAAAATTGGATATTTCAACAAAAATAAGCAATATTGGATAGGAATTTATACATAGGAGGAATTATGAACATTCAGTGATCACAGTGAGCTAGTTTCTGAGCTTCAAAAATAAGTACTTAAAAAGAATTTTGAACAAACTTTCTGTAAATATTTTGAAGAAGTATTTCATTTTTATAAACTGAAGCAGTGTGGAAGTTGGCTGATAGTTAATTATTGATCTTGAACTTACACTGAACCTGGAATTAGGCTATTAACAGCCAGTTATTGGCTTAGTATGGCCACTAACATTGTATCTAACAGGAATGGAAGTACTACAGACCCTGTTTTGAGCCAATTGTTTGGAAATGACTCATTCAACATTAGTGACTCTACCCAGAACACAAATGCCATTCAGGGACCATCTCAAAATACTGTTATTGACACTGATGTTACGTTTTCCCCTGGGTCTGTACAAGAAGCTGACACTCTTTCGACTACTCCAAGCACACCACTTGGACCGTTCACGCAAGAAACACCATCCCCGGCAGTGACCAGGCGTAAAACAAGGTTAGGGACACGCAACTCTAAAAATGCCCCAAAGACCCCCAAAAGTCTTCAATCTAATGCCAAAATCAAAACAACTAAAGCCAAAACAACAAGAGGTCGTCCCTCCAAGTCTTTGCTACCCCCTTCCCCCTCCATTGACCGCTTAGTCGAAGTGATATCTACACTGACGATAAAGATTGAGGACTTATCAACCACAACAGCACGCCTTCAAGACAAAATTGATATTATGGAAACCAACCTCAATGCAATTCAGGTTACCAATACTGACCTCGTATCACAACTAGCTGCGAAAACCTCCAAATGCAAGGATCTTGATGAGGAATGCATCTACTTGCGTAAACAGTTAACCAATAGGAAATCTGCCATTGACAATCCATCTAAGACCCTAGTAATTGGAAGTTCGATAATTCGTGACTTTGACCATACCAAAATACGTAACACTGATGTCACCTGTATCAGAGGGGGTAAAATCAAAGATGTCCATAAAGAGATAACAGAACTCGGGAAAACCACAGGACCAAAGCCCTACAATCGTGTTATTCTTCAGATTGCCAGCAACGATTCCTCCCAAAATGACGCCAGTGCTGAATCAATTGTCAAAGACTATAAGCTAATGGCAACTGGGGCAAAAAACATTTCTGATGAAATTCATGTGTCAAGCATCACCCCTCGTACAGATAACAAACAGGCCCAAGAAGTCATCGAAGCTGTTAATGCTGAACTGCAAGTAATGTGCGACAATGATAACCAATTTACATATATAAACAATGACACAATATTTCGTCTCCAGGATGGCTCTATAAATGACGGTTACCTTGATTCATGGGGACTGCATCTAACAAAGGCTGGCTCAAATAAACTTGCTCATAATATGAAACTAGATACAATCTCTGATGACATCACCAAGCCACGCCAATTTAACCGCCCCCGTCCATCCCCTAACAACCACAATAATAGACCCCAAGCCCCTCAAAATGTGATGGGTATCTCCTCATCGAATGACACTGATGGATGGCAAACAGTATGTCATAAAAAACACAACAATAACAGTTCATGTGACAATAGTAGTAGTACCTATCAGTCATCTCATTCCAATGCACCGAACAAAAAGGGGAATAAGCCAGCATGTTTTAAATGTGGTGAAAGTTCCCACTTGGCAAGCTCTTGCTGGCATCCCCATTCTGTAAGGTGCTACCTGTGTAATTCTTTAGGACATAAACAAACCAAATGCCCTGAGTTCAATGTTGCTAATTCTAACTAGATTCTTGGCTATGATATAGCCTTACCCCCATTCCATACTAAATGTCAGCCAAAACGCAATGTGGTAAACAAATGTCATAAAAAACATAGGCGAGGTGGTCATACGGTTAAAAAATCTAATAAAGCAGCTGTTAAATTTGGCTATAACAATGTCCAAAGGCTTGGAATAGCCAAACAAGCAGAACTTAATAAACTTCTCACAGATAACCATTATGACCTCTTTGCCCTAGCAGAAACGTTTTTTAATGATTCCAATTCACTAATACACTTGGATAATGAGTATGTCTGGCGAGAAAAGAATAGAAAAGGCAAACTCGGTGGTGGGTTAGGGTTTTTTATTCACAAAGATGTTGTTTTGCTTGATGATAATCCCTTTGATTCGAAATCTGATGATTATGAACGGCTTTGGTTAAAACTGAAGATTAACAATGAGCTTATATATGTATGTGTAGTCTATTTCCCTTGTGATGGTCGGGACATGGTCAAAACCCAGGAATTATATGATGAACTAGAGCAAAATGTAGCATCTATTAATGATGGTTATAACATCCTTATAATGGGTGACTTTAATGGTAAGATTCCTGGTTTTAGAAATGACGGACATCATAGCCCAAATGGTGACCTGTTAAAACTATTTAGTGAAGTGTCAGACTTATCTATTCTTAACTGCTCAGATAACTGTGAAGGTACAATTACTTGGACACGCAATGAACAACTATCTACGATCGATTATGTTTTAGCCAATGACCATTTTCAGCAATCCCACTTTGTAAATATGATGATTGATGAACATAAAGAACTCTCAGTTGGTAGTGATCACAATGTCATTACTATAAATAGTAAGTTTGTCCCTGTTTACAAACCTGACTCAGAGGCCACTTCTTCAAATGATAATATTGCCTATACCAAATGGAATTTTAATGACCAAACTGACTGGGGGATGTTTAAGTCAGAATTGAGTTCTGAATATAAAAATTGGTCAATTGATGGGTTAAATGTTGAAGAGATTTGGAACTGTTTTAAGGTTAAATTAATAAATGTTGGTAACAAAGCAATTGGTATGAAGAAAGTTTCTAAAAATAGCAGAGATTTTTGGGATTCTGAATTGAAGCAATTGATTAAAAATAGGAAAGAGGCCAGCCGTTTTCATAGAATTTGGCAAAAGTCAAAATCAGCGGACCCAACTGTTATTAAGGAACTTTGGGAGATTTATCAAGATCTTAAACATCAAGTTGCAACAAAAATTAAAGAAAACCATATAAAGAATCACATTAGAATAATTACCAACAACGCCCGTAATAAGTCGAAATCTTCAAAAAGTTATTGGAAAGCGCTGAAAAAATTCAATACAAAGAGCAATTTCCCCATTAGAATGAAAGACCCAAATGACCCCAACCATATTATATGTGACCCAAAAGAAGTTAACGAAACACTTAAAGAATATTGGAAAAATGTTGGTTCTAAAAGTAAAAACCCCGAAACCCTCCCAAATCAAGCTTCAGACACCCTCAATAATATTGAGCTTGATAACATTGTAAGTGATAGAGCACTCAGTCATATTACTTTTGATCTAGCAAGTTTATCAAAACATATATCTGGTCTTTCAAATGGAAAGGCAGTCGGTATAGATCAAATTCCAAATGAATTCTTGAAAAATGGTAAAGAAGTTCTCTCGCAGCCTATTTTAGATCTTTTTAATGCTATCAGAATGTTTGAAAAAATTCCATTTGATTGGCAACAAGGTATTGTCAAACCCCTCCATAAGGAAGGTGATCCAGAAGTTTTCAATAATTATCGTGGAATAACGATTACATCCAATATGTATAAATTATTCTCAAGTCTGTTGGAAAACCAGATAATGGACTTTCTTCGTGAAAACAATCTTTTAGGTGACCTTCAAGGCGCATTTCAAAAAGGCAAAAGATTAGAAAATCATATATTTTCCCTTAAAGGACTATGTAGCCTTCGTAAAGATAAGAAACTCAAATCCTATTTAGCTTTTATTGACATTTCTAAGGCATTTGACGTTTTAGATCGTGATTTGCTATTTCTAAAACTTTGGGAAAAGGGAATCCAAGGTAAAACTTGGAGGATTTTGAAATCACTATACTCTAACACTTCAAACAAGGTCATCTTTGGACAATATGAAACTGACTGGTTTGACTCCTCATCTGGAGTGAAGCAAGGTTGTATTCTATCCCCGACCCTTTTTTCCATAGTAATGACAGACCTTGAAGACAGTTTAAGAATGTCCAGTTTTGGTCTGCCCTTTGAAGATAAAAAAATCCCCTGTCTTCTTTATGCCGATGACATTGTGTTAATGGGTCAATCTGAGAAAGAACTCCAGTCAATGTTAACAATCACTAATAATTTTGGACTTAAATGGGGATTTCAGTTCAGTGACAAAAAGTCTAAGATAATGATAATAGGGAAAAGACTTGATTCGGAAAAGGTATGGTCATTAGGGAATTTGAGACTGCCAGAGGTAAATGAGTACAAATATCTTGGAGTAATGTTCAATAGGAGTCTCAAAGAAACTGCACATTTGAAATATTTATATGAAAAGGCCAGGAAAATGAAAAATTATTTAAGTTCTACTTTAACCAAACATTGTAATGTCAAGCGCATTGAATTTGGAAGTACGATTTACAACTCTATGATGGCACCTGCTATCCTGCATGGATGCCCGATCTGGGTACTCCCAAAGTCAAGCCTTGCCAAAATTACCTCATTTCAATATGGTGCCGCCCAAGCCATTTTTCAAATTAAAAGTAAACCCGCCAGTGAATCTATATTGGGGGATTTAGGCTGGAAACCGATAGCAGAGGTGATTGAAAAAAGACAAATTGACTATTTGAACTACCTAAATTTTAATGTACCAACTACATCCCTCCCTCATAAAATCCTACAGAATTTGCTAAAATTATTAAAAGTCGGCAAAGAATCATATTGGAAATTTGCATCAAATGCACGGAATATTTTAAGAGATAAAGGTTTAGATGATGTTATTTTTCGGAATGACAGCGAATGGTACCCCTCATTTTTAACTATATCTCAATCCCAAAGCATTTATAATTTCCACACTAGGGTAGCTGAACACCCCTCCCTTGAAATATATAAGGAGGTTAAAACCCATAACCGCACCGAAAGGTACCTTAAGAATGACCTTGATTTTTATGGATCTAAAATGAAATTTCTAGCAAGATCGAATAATTTCTGCCTTGAGACAAATTATGAAAAGTGGGGCAAAAGTGATGGTATATGTATAATGTGTAATCTTAATTTGAGAGATACTCTATCACACAGATTAATGGTGTGTCCCCATTTTGCCAAAGCCAGGTCCGACTTTTACAACGATGTAGAGAAATATGTTTCTCCCATTTTAAGTAGCAGTTTATTGTCTTCGAACATTCATGATAGGTTAATTACACTACTTGGTGATAAGGTTTTTATGGAATGGGGGCATGACATTTTTTATATGTTTGATAAATATGTGAAGATGTTTTTAGCAACACTTTTTAACCCTAGAAAACTGTAGTATTTTATGTAAACATTTTTAGTGCTTATAAAATATATATGTAGATTACAAGTACTGACGCACCTAATAATAGTGTGCCGCTGTTAAAAAAGCGTATGTCAAAATAAATTAAATAAATAAATTAAATAAATAAAAAATATGTCACCACTTTTGGTGGTGACATAAAAAACGGAGACCATAACAATATGTCACCACTTTTGGTGGTGACATAAAAACATGTACAATAACAATACAATAACAAAAAGATCTGGTCTAGTTTCTAGATATTTTTATATGTGAATATCTGTAACAACATCCTATTGGTGAACTTGACAGTGAATTTTCAGTTAAACTTATCCAACTCCAAATGTAGTATATAGTATAACACAATTGGTAATGGTAAGGCATAACACAAGCAATTTGAATTTGCGTTATACCATATCTCAGATAAATTTACCTGCGTGTTATACTGTATACATGTACTACAATCAGAGTTTGTGTAGTTTAACTGTCAAGTTCACTGTCTATGATGTTGTTCCAGACATTTACATGTAAAAATATCTAGTAACTAGACCAGATCTTTCTATCATGCTTAATTTGATACATACCCAGTGATCATGTGTGGATTAGGTCCTAGGGCCTTTGACTACATGTAAGCGTTAAGGGATATCCTCTTGCATAATCTTATCTTATAGGTGTAGGTGAGGTGATGGATGCTAATGCATATTCCAGATAAAAAAATATTTTCTTAGCAGAAGCAGAATCAGATATAGGGTCAGTGACAAAATTGCAACCAACTTGTATAGTTGACCTACCGATACATTCCATACAATCTCAAATATAATATCTCCCAAAGATCCATGACATTTATAAATTAGTGAACTTATGATGGATTCAAAGTACCAAAATTGGGAAAAATGTGTAAATTCTCTCAATTTTGCAATTCTGGCCTTATTTTTTTAACTAGACAAATGTTAGATTTATAAGACATACATGTAGGCCTACGAGTGCATTAAAGCATTTACAATTCAGCATAGATGGAGATCATAATCTTAATACTTTAAAAATTGAACCCTTCAAAGAGTACATAGGTACAAGGTTTTTTATACAAAGCCGAAGATTCTGCCAAAAGCAAGTATTAATTCCCAAGAGGTTTGCATAGTTTTGGTCACCCTGTATAGATTTAAAGTCTTTATATGCCACTTGATGACAATGGCACATTGAAATACACATTGAAAAATACATTGTTTTCTTATCTACCTTAGGGAACAATATAAAAATTCAATGGCAGAGAGCTAACTATATTTCAATAGTAACTCTCAGATACCCCCTCCCCAGCTAACTTTATATGAGAAATGTTGACATTTGCAGTATCTCTGAAAGTTACCACCATATATTCCTTCATAAGTGCAATTGATTTATTTAAAATGAAAAACTTTTGGGCTTTTGGATCAGATCTCAATCCTGCTGTATATTTAGCTGATGACTGTCCAGTTTCTCATGACAGTGCTGGTTAGATTAAACAGTGAAAAACTTAACTTTCAGTACCCCAAGATGATGATGATTGTGGATTTTCAGATCTCAATTACTTTCGCACAAAGGATGGGTATCGATATGGTGAATTTTTTTAACATATGTTTGTCTTAAACCAGTCATAAAAAAATGCTGAAAATTTTATACATTGTCAATTCGATGGTAATTTTTCGAATGGTAACAATATACTTTGAAGTAAATATGTATACATTTCTCTATATTGTTTTAGAAAACACATCAGACACTTCTTTTGTTCTTGGTATCATACGTATGTTCGGAATGAAATGAATCATCTATCTGAACCTCATTGAAACAAAATGACATAAACACAACGTGTTTAGGTCCCTCAATATTAAAATAGAAGAAAGGAAAGTTTGGTTGATTTAAAAAAAGTATCATATTCATGAAATAAAAGGTTTATCTTAATTTTTATCTATTTTGGGGGTTTGGTTTTAATTTTTTGAATACTTTTTGTTAAATCAACCAAAATTTCCTTTGTGTAACTATAATATTGAGAAGTCTAAGAAAATGTTGTATATGCTATTTTGTTCGAACAAGTTTCGGAAAGATATTTTATTTCATTCTCAACAATTGGTAAAAAAGGAACAAAAAACAATTGCACTAAAAAAAATGTTAATAAAAACAGTTATATAAAATATATATAAATTATTTTCGCATTATATTGTTGTCAATCAGTCAACATTATATGAAAGACCTATTTTTTTCCTGAATGTTTTCTATAATTGGTTGAAGAGAAAAACATTGTTGGATTCAGTTTACCATATCAATACCAATCCTTTTACCAAATTTCCCTTTTCCTATTGAATAACTCTAAACCTTTTAACTGATGACCTTGAAATATTGAGTAATTCTACACCTTTTTAATAACCTTCAAATGTCCAATTGGCAGATTGTACATTGTATTTTAATGAAATTTCAAATTATTTTTTTCATATTAGAAAGTAGAGGGGGTTTGGTACACATTGGATGAAATGGCCATAATATTGTGATGAAAGTTCCTAGGATTTAATAATCATTTTTGGCAGAGCTAAATATTACTTTCAGGTACACAGGGTTTCAGGTGGATGCAAGCTACATCATCTATTTAATTCAATGTGCTTAAAACAAGACTTACCTCAATAACATTAGCCTTATAAAAAGCCATTGTAGGTTTTGGTCCCAACCATAATCTAAACCCGCCTCCAGGATAAACTTTACAAAAGTCTAATACTTGACTGTAAAACCCTATAAATCAAGGAATTGTGTGTAATGCCATTATTGTAACAGCAATTGTCATAGTTAAGTATGAAGCATACTGTTGATCAGATGCCTTGTAGTAGCAGAGGTCTTAACTCTCTCTTTAACTCACTTTTCTGGTCATCAGTGATATTTCATATTTCCACCTACATGTAGATATAAAATGAACTAGAAAACAGCAACTCCATGGAGTACATAATCCCACCGATCAAAACATATCTTGATAAATAGCAGCCATCTTGAAAATTTCTTCTTAAACAGAGCTTCATTGTCCTTAGGAATCAGCATATAAAATTTGAAGCAAATCTGTCATGTCTACTGGAATTTGAGTTATCAAAGATTAAGTTTTTTTACAAAAAATTGCAGCCATTCTGAAATTTGCTTGCAATCTTGAAAATGTCTTATTGAGTACGACTTCCTTAATCTAGGCATCAGCATATAAAAGGATTGGTATTGATATGGCAAAGTGAATTGAACACATTTTTCTCTTAAACCAGTCATCAAAAAATTCTGAAAATTGAATTGATGGTAACAGTCTAATTTGAAAAAAAAAATTTTATATATACTTTTTTCTACATTGTTTTAGAAAACACATCAGGCACTTCTTTTGTTCTTGGTATCATATGTTTGGAATGAAATGAAACATCTATCCGAACCTCATTGGAACAAAACGACATATACAGAATGTGTTTGGATCTCAATTGTAATTGTAAAAAGAAAAGTTTGGTTGATTTAAAAAAAACATCTTTTAATGAAATAAAAGGTTTACTTTAATTTTCATCTATTTTTGTTTTTTTAACATTTTTTGAACACTTTTTGTTAAATCAACCAAGTTCATTTGACTAATTTTAATATCGAGAGGTCTAAGAAAATGTTGTATATGCTATTTTGTTCGAATGAGGTTCAGAAATATATATTATTTCATTCTGAAGAATTCGGTAGAAATGAACAAAAAGATCAGAAATGTTAACAAAAACAGTCTTCTTGAGCAAAGCTCCTTTGTCTCTTGGCATCAGCATTTAAAATTTGAACCAAATCTGTCTACTGGTATTTGAGTAATCTGGCCGCCTGATCTTTAAATTCAGTGACCATCTTGAAAATCTCTTCTAGGGCAAAGCTCCTTTGTCCCTAGCCCTCAGCATATTAAATTTGAACCAAATCCGTCAACCAGTATTTGGGTTATCAAAAATAACATTTTTACGAAAAATGGCAGCCATTTTGAATTAAGTCGTCATATTGAAAATTCCTTCTCGAGCAGAGGTCCTACACCCATAAGACACAAGCCTATAAAATTTTAATCAAATCTGTCAACCAGTTATTGCCCAGACACACGGAAGGATGGCTTTCCTATATCTCCCTCGAACTTCATTCGGTGGGATATTTAATCCCAGCATTCCTAAGCTACATGACATGTGTGGTCATCCTTAATTTGTTTGAAGCAGCTTACAAGCATCTTTGATTCTTGCATAAGTAACTTACTAAACATTACTATAGATTGGTTTAATTTGGTACCAGCTTTAATTTATTTGGTGAAATCAGTTAAAAAATCTCCTATTTACTTCTTCGCCAAAATTCAGAAAGGATCCCCAGGAATTTTCCAGGGAGTTTTTAAAAAATCTGAAAAGGATAAGAAGAAGGAACATCAAAATTATTGAGCATTTCCATGGGGAATTCTTTCTATAACTAGCAACAGCAACACCAAAAGCGTAGCAAATCCAATCGAACAGCCATAGCTGGCATTTTTACAAACGAAGTATATAGCAAAAAGTAACACACAAAAAATGGCCACCATTGTCAAAATGGTTGCTCATTAGCCAAATTGTCATCAAAAAGTGTAATATTCAAAATGGCCGCCTACTCAAAGTGTCATTAGACAGTGTGCCATGCTTATAGAATTCACATATCAAATATGAACAAAAGCTCTCTACTACTTTTCGAGTTATAGTAAAAGTTAAAATGGTGGCCATTTTTCAAAATGGCTACCGACTACCCAAAGTGTCATTAGACAGTGTGCCATGCATATAGTATTCACATACCAAATATGAACAAAATCGCTACAATACTTTTTGAGTTGTAGCAAAAATCGAAAAATAGCATGTAGAGGCTGCCATTTTTCAAGATGGCTGCCATGTGCTTTTTCAATATCTACATTTCTAGCTTCATTAATGTCCTATATAACTTTTTTACATTAAAACATATTACTATGACAGTTTTATATATTGTACCTAAATTACTGTAAAATCGGCACTAAAATGGCTGTCATTTTTAAATGAGCAGCCATTTTGAAAATTGGCTTTCGAGCTGAACATCTACCCCAAGAGGGTATATGTGTACAAAATATACTCCTCAAAAAAAGTTAAGGACCAGTGGTTTTCTTCATAGGTTTACATGTTAACCCCCCTATTTTTTGAACAACTATTTTCGATGCATGGAACTAGCTACTTGGAACAAAAGAAAACCTGATAAAGTAAATAAATCTGTAATTTGATTCTATTCTCTATAAAGTCTGCAAAATTCAATGTTATATCTCCATGACAGTGGGTCAAAATTTGATGTCAAAATTAATGAATTTCTTGAAATTTAAAAAAAATGGCAGACCCCATGTAAACCAATAGAAAATGGTTGGGTTCCCATAAGTCATATGAGGAACGATCCATCCATCCGATTGCTTTCAAAATTAGAATTTGAAGAGATAATTAAATTTGCTAAATTGTCCACTGGACAAAAATATGATTTAATTGCCCAGGCTTTACAAAAGTTAATGGTTTCAAATTAAATATTTTTTTTTAATGATCCTCTTATTGAAACAACACAAGAGGTCAGTGAGGTGGTCAAAATTACTTTAAAGCTCTGTATCACTAATTTTAACAATATAAGCTAGACATTTAGCATGTAAAATGTAAAACCATTCAATTTTCTACTCAGAAAGTATTTTCAACAAATTTTTTACTGAATAGATATTCCAAAATTTGAGTTGCCCCAAAGCCATCATTCCCCATTTGTTTAACATGGGATTATTGCTTTTTTGTTAAATTTCATGAAATTCATCAATTTTAACATCAAATTTTGACCCATTGTAATGGAGATATAACATTGAAGTTTGCAGACTTAATAGAGAATAGAATCAAGATATTGATTGATTTACTTTATCAGGTTTTCTTTTGTTACACGCTTAGAAAATAGTCGTTCAAACAATTATGGGGGTTAACATGTAAACCTATGAGGAAAACCACTGGTCCTTAACTTTTTTTGAGGAGTATATTAACAAAATCGGGCCTACAGTATTTGAATTATTGCCCAGACGGAGGGACATAATGAAGGACGTACGTATCCCTCCGAACTTCATTCAATGGATAATAAATTACTAGCTAGACATAGAAGTTGAATTGAAAGAATAGGTGTAACAATTTGTATTTTATTCCAGTGTATATTGAAGTTATCGCTTCAGAGCAATGTCCAACCCCTAGTTTCCACATGTATCCACCATTATGCAAAAATGGCAAAAGCGCCAAATTAGCCCAATCTACTGTACCTTGGCAAAGAAATTGCCTGCACATACATGAACCTTACTTACATCTGCTTTCAGATGGTAGTGTACATGTACTTACATCTACTGAAAGCAGAAACTCTGATAGTAGCTGGTGCAAAGAAGCAATGGACAAGAGGAAACTTTCTAAAAGCAATATACATGTATCAAGACCACCAGAAAGTTTATTCAAAATAGAGTCGAAAAGAGAGGAGATTAGAGTGACATCTTTCATCTTTGCATATAATAATAATACCTCAACAAAATTGGCAGAGTAAAAAATAATCCATGGTCTAAAATCAGACAACCAGAGCCTTGTTGCACCTTCTGGATATGTCCTGGTGAACTCTATGAGCTGTTCATAAAAATCTAAAATAAAAAAACATTAATTATATTTCAATTGGATAACGATAATATTGAATAATGTATAGTCTCATAAATATAAGAGCCTCATTCCAAAAACGTCAATAAAAATAGTCTTAAATGTGTTTTGGGAAATTTTGATATTTTCCCCAAAGTATTTTCTAATTTTTGTTTTTTTACAGTAAAAATTGTAAAATAGCATGTTTAGGCCACAATTTTTCAAGATGGCTGCCATTGCGTCTCTAAAATGTCTACATTTCTAGCTTTATTAATGTCTTAAATAACTTTTTTACATTTAAAACATATTGCTATTACAGTTTTAAACTCTGCACTAAAATGGCCACCATTTTTAAGAGTGGCCATTTTGAAAATCGGCTTTTGAGCAGAACTTCTACCCCCACAGGGCATATATGTACAAATTATGATCAAAATTGGGCTAACGGTATTTGAGTTATCGCCAAGACAGGTGGACGAACAGAGGCGTTTCCTCTATCCCTCTGGACTTTATTCAATGGGATAAGCATGAGCCAACTAGAATTCCCAATGAGATTGCATCACCATCAAGATCAGTATTACATGAAGATGCAATTTTTTTCTTGATATGATATACTTTTGAAGTATAGAGAGTGAAGATGCACATCAATCAAAAGGCCTAATGATTAACATGTTACATGTACAGTTCTTGCTTATGAACTAATAATCAATAGACTAAAGTCTAATTCTCTTGAACCAAATGCTAGATAAAAAGTGTACAAAATTAATGTATATTTGAATGATGATATTTGATGGGACCTGCACCTTCGACCTGTGACTTAGTGGGTGTCCAAAAAGTTTAGACTGCAGGATTTAAGTTTTGCGCCTTTCATTATGAGTATTTATATAACATGGAAATGATGGATGGTGATGGGGTCAAAAATGCATGATTCTAGCCAATTCGAGACAGCCCAGTCATGAAATCGATTGAGTTCCAACTCAAGTCAGTACAAGTATAGCAATTCTTACAAAAATGTTAAGGCTGGAGAAAAATGGGTTAGAAAAATGGTTATTACAGTACATCAATTGCAGTAATGTCACCAATTGTTGTTTCATGTAATTAACAACATTATTCAATGATACATGTAGCAAGTTATGTTACAACAATTAATACCTGTCATACTTTCTACCTATACCTTCAATTCAACTAATTTATTATTCAAGTAAAATGACAAAATGACAATTAGATAATTCTAGACAGTTATCTCCATAGCTCAGTGTTGATCACTCATCCACAAACTAATGGGTCGTTGGTTCGATCCCAACTAGGTAGGACTACATTTTTCAAATCAACCCTTAGCACAGAATTTCATTCTGCATTTTCATTAACTAATACTATTTCTCCTTAGGGGGATTGTCCCTTGGGATTGTCCAAGTGACATCATGAATAGAAAGATTGACTACTTAGAAAGACAGGTAACTTATGTTGGGTCCAGAAAACTGGGCATGTAAGACATTCATGAGTTTAATGAATTAAATACATTATATAGATGCCCATGTAATTCTATAAATATGATGATTTCAAGAAACTACTGCCCCACCTCTCAAACTAGGACCTTAACCCACATACATGTAGACTAGCAAGTTCATGACTGAAATATTATTTATCATTATATCGAGTACCAGTACATGCAGGTATACACATACACATATCTTATATGATTACCTCCCTGTCAACAAAAGCTCAAAGTCAAGGTAAGCAATCAAAATAAATGATAATTACTTTGCATATAAAATAAGGCAATAAAATTGACAAGAAACTTTTGTGGCTGGTCATTTTAAAGCAGGATCCTATCCTATAACTTTTACATATTTTTTCACTAGTCTTGTTATATTGTTCCGTATTAAAGGTTTTGTTGACATTAATACGGAATAAATCATACTATTTCATGAAAAATGGTGACCTTGTCCTACGGAAATTGGGATTATGTTTTACAGCGTTACTGTATAGCACATGCACTAGAGAATTGATTCTACTTTCTATAAACACCAAATACATCTCTGTTTGAATGGTTTGAAAGTACCAATACCTTCGCAAAAAAATCATCTAAGTGGCAGCATGAGAAGGGAGGTAGTCATGCAAATACATGTAAGGAAAAGGAGGAGAAGAGGGGTATTAAAGTACATCTAAATGAGAATTATCATTTTAGGTTCCCCTCCCCGGTCAACAGTTTAACCATGGTTTATATGTAAGTAGCATGGTACTACACTTTGCTAGAGTCCACCACACAAGGGGTTTCATCTCTTTTGAACCACTCTGAATAAAGACAAGTTTTCATACAAAATACATTGAACACTCCAATTGCTTAATTCCTTTCTTTTCAATTGCAGTTTTGGAAGAGTTTCATCGGATGGAGTTCCCCCTCCATCCAATATTAATTTATTTCGATTATTTTTTGTATAACACATGGAAACTCACTTTAAAAGTTAGTATTGTCATTAGTATTGTGATAATAAAGTCCCTTATACATTTTTTACAGGTCGTGTAGACCCATTGTTGCCCGATTTAATTTACTCAGGGTGATAGAGAAGATATAAGTTTTTCAGCAACTTAAACTTTTAATTGACGTAAACAGTAAACACCACCAGGGAAGAAGGTTTCTCAAAGAAACCAGAAAAGTACATTTCATTAGAAAATTTTCTTCGTTTCCTAAATGAGGGAATTGATTTGTGAATATCCCAGCAATGGCAGAATTAATTTCTATGCTGTAATCATATTTTGAAACAGGAACTCATGAACTACATGTACATGTACATACATGTATTCTCGGACGCAGGGAAGGGGTCTAATCTGTAATATCACGCCTAACCATCGACAAGCTACAGTGACAAAATATACCGTAATACACTTTAGATGCACGATGTCACTTTTTAACCAATTTGAAGCAAAGACAATGATGCACATGTGATGTATTAATAAATTAAGTGTTGCACAAAATTTGCTCCAGAACGGTTGGATAAATTCTCCCAAAATTTTGTGTTGTCATACCTGAGATAAAACTTTTAAAAAAACCTTGTCAAAACTGGGTAAGGTAACGATAAAGTAATTAAAATGTACAAAAAATGGCAGCCATATTTTTTGGTAAAGTCACAAAATTTTGTATCAGTTTTCTTTATATGTGAATGCATATGCATTTCCTGACTAGAAAAAAAGTCTGTTACACTGCTTCAAAGGCAAGCAGTTGAACCTGAAAATCAAGGAATCTATAGACCATTGTGCCATAATATATAGAAAAATACAGGGTGTCAAATAAGTCCCGTCCCCCTTGCTACAGCTAAAACCTTAATAGATGGTACCTAGTGATGTGATATACCATTGGAAAGATCATCTAAAGTTATGTTAACTCACCAACTCTCAAGTATTTTGGATGAAGTTTCCCTATATTTTTATGATGTCCTTTATGACTGATGTACCCTCCTTTAAGCAGCTTTTTTGCGTCAAAATGACAAGGATATCACCTCAGAATTACGTCAAAAAGTTAATCTTTTTCGCATTCCACTTGTTACAAAAATGTAAACGAAGTGAAAATATTCTAGATCTAATTCATGATTCATATTTACCTGCACCATCACGTTTTAATATATGTGCATTTCCAATCAAAGGAAGGGCAGGAGGTCCAGGAAACTTATCCACCAGTTTTTTAATCCGATAAGACTGTTTAAACCATATTGCAATAAAAATAAGGGCGATGACTGTCGCGATCAAAATTCCAGCCGCCATTTTGACTTTTGTACCTGTCACATGATCAAGCAACTAAAATCACGTGACAGAGTCAAAAAGGTAAAAAATTCCGCTGAATAATTTTACGTTTCTTTCTGGGTTTCATTCCAACATGTTTTTATTTTGAGAACTGAGAATTATACTACAAAGACTCTATTCTAAATAATTTTATATCTAAAGCATTTACAGACCATTCATAAACAGGATATGGAAGAAAATTTAATAACTGAAGTGGGTGATAATGGAGTACTGCATTTACCAGCACTTCCCTGTGGAACAAAGCCACTGAGCCACCAAGTGGCTGGACATAGATATGGAGTTGGGAAAACGAAATTAGGTAAACTTTGTTTACATTCATAGATTCTTGAACTGTAATAACTTACGCTCGAATATGCATATTCAAACTATTGTATCAATGTATCCCAAGCCAATAAGTGCTTGGATTCCTCACGCAACCTTCATCAATGCCCTGAAAAGTGATCAGCCCAGGCCTATAAGTCACTAGTCCGGCCTAATTTAGAGTATGCCAGTTCGGCATGGGATCCATAATGACAAAAATACATTGATATCAGGGTTCTCACTACAGTCTGTTACACTGCTTCAAAGGCAAGCAGTTGAACCTGAAAATAAGAAATCAAGGGAACAATGCAGGATGCGTCACCAAAGCAAAAAAGTGGGAGTCACTGAAGGAGCATTGGGGAGAAAACTTACATGCTTTGACTACATGACCATGCAAAAAATGTTTGAAAATATTGATTGGTTCAGCTGTACTATTGATATACTTTTTAGTACATTGTTTTGAGACACCTTTGTATAGTGTTTTTATTTCAACATAAAATACAGTATACTCTGAATATTAATTCCAGGGTTTCTACAGAATGAAGATGGGACCATACTGAAGCCTGTGCAATCGCCACCAAGGGGTCAAAGAGAGTTAGACTTTTATAAACGTGTGTTTAATCCTGAAAATATCAATCCAATTCTTATTAAACTACGAAACTTAATGCCAAAATATCTGGGTACATGGACTTCGCCTGAAACTCCAGGAGGTATGTGAGATTTGTCATTTTTATATTCATAATTTAGAATGTTACAACCTGGTGTCTTTCCTTCAGATTCAAGCTCCTGCATACCCCCTTCGAAAAAACAAAACCAGATATAATGTAGAAATGAGGGATTGGAAGGGATTGATCATTTTGTTTCTAATTTGGCTAATACAACGAAAATAAGATTTTTTTTTGCAAAAAATGCGACACCCAACTGTCGTTTTTCACAGCGACACTAGAGTGGAATAATATAGGGAGGGGGATATAGAGAATGCCTCCATCCGTACGTTCGTCCATCCGTCCGTCCGATGAAAATATCCAAATGTTAGTCTGAATTTATCTTTGTGAAAAGATTATATGCTTCTGTTGCTCCTTAACAAAACATGTGGGACAGTGTATTTATATATTACTAGACGTCCTTGTGTATATAATCTACCTACATGATGTAAATATCCAAATGTTAGTTTGAATTTATTTATTTAGTTATTGAATTTATCTATGTGTAAAGATTGTATGCTTCTGTTGCTCATGGGACAGTGTATTTAATATATATATTACAAGGTGTCCGTCCAGGCGATAACTCAAATACCGTTAGTCCGATTTTGTTCATATTTTGTTGACATATACCCTATGGGTGTAGAAGTTCTGCACGAAAGAAATGGTTGCCATTTTAGTGCTTATTTTATGGTGATTTAGGTACAGTATATGAAACTGTAAGAGCAATATGTTTTGAATGTAAAAAAGGTGGCCTAAAGTGATGCTTATTTTTTCGTGAAGCCACTCAGTAAAATTACGATATCTCTGCACCCTGATGTCCAATCAATATCATTCGAGTATCTATGTGTTGGGGCATCACTGGTAATAACAACGTCTACCCAATGTTTGCACGCGAAATTGACGTAATTCATGACTGAAATCGGGAAGACAAAAATATGTGATATTCTTTCAGGTAAGGTTTGTTTTAAAGTCGAAAAGCCCCAATAAGATAATACAAACCCGGAAGACTGCAGATTTCATGTAGTGATTTATGTTCATGTAAACAAGTAAAGTACATATAATCCCCATATAAAACTGGCCTACGTGACATGTAATGACATGTTCAAACTGAAATATAGAAAATTTTCAACATAACATTTGCTTCCGTGTTCTGTATGCCCTTCTACCTAAAGGCAATGTATCTCCAAATGAAACCTTAGCCTTAGAAATCATATTCACAAGCAATTTTGTTTGTGAATCTCAAAGAACGAACGGCTATAGACACCCCTGGGGTCACTTAACATTTTAAAAAAAAATGCAATGTCGTTATTATTCTTGATATGTAGGATCAAATTGTAGATAAATATGTATATTTTCAAGAAAAAGCAATAAAAACCATTCAAGATTACTGATATTAGTATGTTTTGGTTGATTTGGGAGGTACATGTACAGTATGTCGTCGCGTGAGAATAACTTTGTACTAACTGCCATTTTCCAAAAAATTGAGTTAGACATGGAATTTTACTATTTGAAACACAGGCTTTCATCTCAGATACATGCCCCATCTCAATTCCCTCTCATTAAGCTAGAATTCAGTGTGAAATTGTACCATCTCCAGACAAACAGCTTATTTCTAATTTCAAATTGTCATATCTGATATCAACTGTTTCAACCAATCAATAGTACAAAGTTATTCTCATGGGACGATGTATCACTTCCTGTGAAAATGTGATTTTTTTATTAGTCTCAGAAAATGTCTCCAGAATGTATAAACCCAACTTAGCAGAATGTTCCATTGTTTGATTGTGTCACTCTATACACTCATTGGATTAATATTTTGTACATATACTCGTAAATAGTCATATTTCAATAGTCATTGAGAAGGGATTAGTTATGTTTGCAATTGTGTTGACCTACTTATTTTTAGAGAGAGTAATAAGGTGATAAACTCTTGCTTTGTTCATATAACGCCTGGTTCTTACCTAGAAAGTTATATCTAGTAAGGGAATAGTGTACTTCTATGATACTTCTTGAGATATGTAAAAATTTAGGTAAGGACCAGGCGTTGTGCAAAAATAGAACTTTTCTGCAATTTTCAGCATGAAATAAAATGATGTCAGCCATTTTGAAAATCCTTAGAATCTAATCATTGTGACATTTGTAATTTATATATTTGAGTATATTTTCTTTATTTATATGATCTTTTCATGAACTAATATGTATGCTTTCACTGGAGCATTTTTATTATCACAGTTCACTGGCTGATCATTAAGGTTCAGCTGGAAAGTAACATTTTGGTAAAAAATTGCTATACCTGCACATGTTATTTTCAGGTACAAAATTGAGTATGAAGTCATGTGTGTATTTCCTTACTTTTTTCAGGAAAGTATCATCACACTGTTTATTTTTAGAATATCTGGAAACAGGTCAATGGTAGCTCCTGTGTTGTCTGGAAACTTTGAAAGAAAATTTCGAAAAATAGAAAGTGTGAAATATCAGAATTTCCTGGAGTTCCCATTGAACCCCTACCAGATATTCTAAAAGAAGACAATGTAATGATACTTTCCTGAAAAAAGCAAGGAAATTGACACATGCCTTCATACTTTATTTTGTACCAGAAAATAACATGTGCAGGTATAGCAATTTTTTACCAAAATGTTACTTTCCAGCTGTACCTTAACGTTCGTATTTAGAAATCCAGCTCAACTTTATTGTGCAGAAGAAATATTCTGTAGGTCACATTCAGTAGGCGGGAAAATGACATTTGCTAATAAAATGCCCAAAGGAAAGGGAACTGTATGAGTGAACTGCAATCTCACAGTACCCTCCATCTTCGCACGCTCGGTCTTCACTGCGTTCATCCCTTCGCTTATTTAGCTAGCACCCGAAGCCACTTTGTAAACACAGCTGGTCGCTTTGTACTTTGCCAGCGAGTCGCCACAAAAACGCGATGAGCCAATCAGCGTTCAGCTTTTGTTCACTCCATGTCGCTTAAAACAAAATGAGGTAGATTTTTTTCGACGAGGAGTCATTTAATTTCGTTTTACTCATCTTCGATAAAGGTACATCTGTTATGATCCATTTAGAACGATTGGCTATTAGTTAATCAATGTTTAAAGTAATAAAAGTTTTGAATAGTGCGTCCATTCTTTTCTAGCGAGTGTGTTTAAAATGCTGAACTCTGATTGGGTGCATTCTAGGATGCCCATGGCACGCCCCATATACATTGTCAGGATTTTTACTCTAAATATACGAAGGCAACCGACGGGAGCTGAGTGAACAAAGATGGTACCCCCTGTATGGAGACAACATTTACATCTAAATCAACGTGGACTCTCTTGAGATCAAGCCAACCAGTCTAAACGAAACACAGATGACCATCTTCAAGTAGATGGTAAATACGTATACCATCATTGTTAAAAAAGAAACATATGGCACTGCCCCCAGGATTCCGTGTTTGCAGAGCGCGGACGGAATTTGCCTTTGCCCGCGGAATTGCAGAATCAACTATTTTGGTCAATCTCCGCGGAATTTTCCGCGGAATCGATATATTTTCCAAAAGTTTGAATAGTCAGTCTTACCTGTAACAATTTCCCCAACAATTTCACACGTTTTCAGTCAAATCCCTTGTAGAAATAACCCAAAAATTACCAAATTATGCGAAGTGAAAGTTTTAAACTTCGTCATTTGATTTCTGTCGCTAGATGGCAGCATGTATTGAGTAGTGACATAGTGACTGCCTATGTAACTATCATGAAATTTTCCCGTTTTAATTATATCTATCACGATATTTTCCGCGGAATTTCTGCAGAATTAGCCTTTTCCCCTTGCAGAATTCACTAATTTCACTTGCAGAATTTAGCATTTTAACTTGCAGAAAACTGGGGGGAGTGATATGGCCTAATTTGTGTTAAAGTCCAGTTATCAGTTTGTGTCCACTAAATTTCATTATACATGGGTGGAGTATAAGCCAGATCCAGATATACACGTATGTAATAGCATTGATGCAATCACTGGATGGTGTTGTACATGCCCAGTTGGGAGTAGGGCTGTAGGCACAAGGGGTATAAAACCAAAAAGAAATGCACAAAGTTTGACATTTTAAAATCAAAAGATATGTCTGAAATGTCTTAGAATCTCTTATTCTAATAAACAAACACATGAATGTGCTCATCGGCTGTTATGTAAAGTCCAAAGTAACCTTTCAGAAATTGGTATATTTTATGTGTTTTCAAATGTTTCTGTTTGTGCTTCCTCACTGTGATGTGAAATAATAAATTCAGTAATTTACTGACATTTTAAAACAAACTGTATATGAGCAACTGATCTCAAGGAAGCAGACCAATATATAATTGATTGATATGCATTTTTGACTAGTTAATTACTTCATGTGTTTTTTAATGTTGCCCCTTGTTCATCCTCATAGTGATGTAAATTTAAAAAAAACTATATTCTTTTCTGACATAGTTTTGCAAACTATTTTGTGGACAATTGATCTCGATGAAGTATAAAGAAGATCACTATTCAATATTTTGTTTGCATTTTTGACTTGTTATGTTTTATATGTTTTTTTGAATGTTGCCCATTATGCTTTGTCACTATTATGTAAGATAATACCAATGATTATTTTGATTTTAATAAATAGAAACAGTGACAATAATGATGTGAAAAAGTGATTTTTCCTTGAAAAGGTCATTTTATACACGTTAATAGAATGACCTATAAGCTTTTGAAATATAAAAGTCAGAATGGTCTAATTTTTGGATCTGGTTATCTTCAAAGTCTCTTCTTTGATATCCTGTACAATTTTTTTAAATATCATGGGGGCTAATATAGGGTCTTAAAGACACTCGTCCTTTTGTCTTCCAGATTTCAGTCAAGAATTACGTCAATTTCGCATGCAAACTTTGGGCCGTTAGACGTTGTTATTCCCGGACGCCCAAACGTGTCAGGAACACATAGATACTTGATACTTGATTGGACATCGTTGCAGAGAAATCGTAATTTTACTGAGTGGCTTCATGAAA